CTCTCTCTCTCTCTCTTTCGTCTCAGCGACGGAGATCAAAAACCTCCCTCGCCGGCATGACAAGCCAGAAACGCGGACCGACGTTGCGCACGGAGTTGAGCCCGTCGCAAAGACGTGCGACAAGTTTCGCTTAAGGTCGTGAGCAATATTAGTGGGGGGAGGGGGAAACGGGCAACTTGCAATTGGAATTACAGACAATGCTCCGCTAAGCCCAGTATTTTAACCCCGTTCAGAGTGAGGGAACACAGGGGCAGCTCCAATACAGAGACAGGGAGGAGAAGGGAAACCGACATGGGGCGTTTTTGCTCGATATGTAGAGCTAATCTCCGTGAAGGTGGTGGTGCGGAAGAGCTGCTTGAGATCGACATGTGGCGATCCCTGCCGAGCTTCTTTTCTTCGAACGAACTAACCCCTCCCTTCTCAAACCTACAAAGCCTTTCCGGCCTTATTTTATTTATTTTTTTGGGACAAAGGTCCCCCGAATGTAACACCGAGAGGAATGTCTCCCAAACACGGTCAGTTCACAGCTTGACCTCGCTCGAATGCCTGGAAGCCGAGGTGAGAGGAGGGAAGGAGACTAGGGAACTCTGCCAGGTTTATGGAAAACTACCGCGGCCCCGGCAAAAAAGGTGAACTCACACTTTAAAAAGTCCCCCGTCTGCCTCGCAAATATTGTTTTACAAACGCATGGAAGACAGTGAAGCAACAGATAGGAGGCGGTCATTCGGTAGTTTATCATCCTGAACGGGTGGCTTTGTTAAAGGTTCTTTCAGAAGGCAGACTGCAACAGACACCCACAACCCTTGGTGTAAAGAGATACCCTCCCCCCCCGCCGCTTCGGCTGACTTTTATCCACGCCTTTCAAATCCCGAATCGCGTCGCTGCAAAGTCTGCTTCTTGTCCAGGCTCAAGAGCCTGCGTTCTTTTTAAACGTCTCGGTGCACAACCTGACACTTGAGAGATTATTCCATCTGCATGCGTCATAGTCTGGGCTAGCTCAGTTACCTGAGCTACTCAGTTACAAAACCTCAGTTTTTGTTAAAAACACATCTGAACTGATTCATCGTGGCGCCTCACCCTTTTGGGGGGTCTGACCCCCTTGTTTGGCTGCAATGGCGATGCTGCTGTATACTGGCCCCTTCTTTGTCTGCGACGTCTACAAGGTGAGGTGTGCGTGCGCACCTAAAGGTGTGGCGCAGCAGTGGAGCAGGTGGGGGCTTCACACTGGTGGTGGTAGTGGGGTTCCCCATAGGCTGTCAAGGGCTTTGAGTGGAGCTGTGTCCCCCTGCAGCTCCCAGCTGGCAGCCCCCCCCCACTGGAGCTCAGCAGGTGTGAGCCTGGCCAGTACCTGGAGGGGAGACTCCTGGGAAAGCTGAGGCTGCTGCTGGGAGAGGTGTGAGTGGGGCCAGCAGGGGGCGCT